GTCTGACGTGTCATTCTTCTCCACCTTTATCTGTGAGAGCAGGGCCCACCTTGCCCTTTGTCAATCCAGGCTTCAAGTGTCCCTAGTACAGTCCCCTCCATTTGATGGCAGACACCTGGACTTTGCTCCAGGCCTCTGTTGAGTCGCTTTGGAATCCTGTCAGCCCACATCTGTCCCCTTGCCTTGGTCATCCCTCTGTGCCCTTTGGGATACTCCTGGCAGTGAAACATGCCCCACCGACTGAATCAGGGTGCACTCTGGTCATCTTCCTCCCTGGGATAAAAAGGTCAAGACTGGTCACCTGAGTCCTCCCACCAGCAGAGCCCCTGAGTGGAGGCTATCAGTTAGTTGCTGGAGGCTTGGCATGATGACAGCCCAGCATCCCTTACCTCCCTTGGAGACTGCAGCAGTTTCCATGCTCCGTGGAGAATGAGTTTTTAAAAGGCTACATGAGGAACCAGGAATTTCCTTAATGAAACTCCAGCAGGGAAAGTAAAAGGCTTCATTAGGATTCAGCCTCTAAGCGAGTGGGCCCAGCAGTGGTACAACAAAGGTGGGCAGGGGCTGGCAGTGGGAAGTGGGCACAGGGCCACAGCTGCCTTGCCTCATCGCCTGTACACCAAGGGATGGGCGAGTACGGAAGAGGAGCCAGGGTGGAGGCCCAACAATTCCCAGGCTCCTTATCAGGCATTGTGTCCAAGCCAAGCCCTACCCACTCACTCCAGGTCTGTAGTCTTAGAAAACTCTGGAGATTTGTTCTTGGTGTGTGTTGAACTTTCTGCTTGTGGAAGCCTCTGCAGCCCAGGACTTAGGTGAGGCTGGGGTGAGTCCTTAACTCAGATGGAAACTGAGCTATTTCTGAGTTACTATCTCCCAGGTCTAAGAAGATGTGGCTGACCAGAGAAGCCTCAGTTTGCTGGACCAGCAGAGGCATGTGAGCCAGTCCTCTGGGGCCCAGCCAGCTGGAGCTGCAGCCGGGCCCCTGCCAGCTCCCAGAGAAGATAGCCTGGCAGGGGGCAGGCCAGGCTCCTGGTAGCTGCTACCTGCCTACTCCTCCAAGCAGGGGGATTCTAGGGGTGTCTAGGACCTGATCTGTGCTTAGCTAAATGAAAGAGAAGCACAGAAGTCATCTGAGAAAGTAAAAAAGACTGTTTTCCTCCCTTATTCTGACCTCTTCCTGTCCCCTACCTTCCTTAGAAACTAGTTCATTGGCTTGCAGGACAGCCACAGGCTTGGGGTGAATCCTAGCCCTCCATAGAGGACCATGCCAGACACAGGAGGGGCTAGCAGTAGGCTGGGAGTGGAAGGACAATAGCTAGAGGCAGGGCAGGGTCCAGGCCCAAGGGTCAGCAGACTAGCAGCTTGGCAGCTCTGTCCAGGGGTGGTAGATTCTGCTCCAGCAAGGGCCATGAAAAAACAAAATGTGGCTATTCCATCTGGGAGGCCAGGGCCTCCAGAGTTTACAGATTTGGAAGGCAGAGATTAATAAATTAATGTCATGTGTTAAGGGAGAAAATTAATCAGCATTTTTCCAAATGTGCTCTTCAAAATGTTAGAAACATGAGAAGCTGCTTCATGGTTAAAAGAAAAAGAGAGAGAGAAAGAGAGAGAACCAAATGTTCTGGGAAATCACATAGCACATAGTAGGCATGCAATTGGTGAGGGAGCATCACAGGACTTCTCAAGGCCTTCAAGGGCAAGCAAGCAGGCAGCATACGGTTCCGTGGGGGCGAAGGGGCCAGAAATCCTCCAATTCATTTGACCACAGAGACCATGAGATGTGGAGAATCTGACGGGATTATTGTTTCACAGATACCATTTTGGAAACACTCAACTAGTCTGTCTCTAAGCCCTTTTCCAGCTGTAAACCTTTTTGGGAAATCATGAAACAGAGGCCCAAAGACCAGAGGAAGCATGCGATTTAGAAGAAAGAGCTGTGAGGGGATAAGAGAGAGTGAAATCGCTGAGCCAGGAAACGGGGCTCAAGATGGGAGGGGGAGGGGAGCCAGAGAGAAGTCTGGTCCGGAGGGGTCTTCCAGGCATGGGTGGCAGTGAAGGCTGGGCATCCCCAGGAGGGTGGTGCTTGAGGGGAGAAGGGGGCTGCAGAGGCCATATTCACACACCCCTCCCAGCCCAGCACTCTGTGCCAAGAAGATGCTCTGATGATGCTTCTCAGTTGGTGGTGATGATGACAGCTTGGGATGGAGTGACAGGGTTTCAGCTTCTGTGAGGCCTGGGTGTTTATGGACAGGGCAAGGGACAAAAGGAAGGGCCCGGCTCCAGGGCCGCGGCTGCCAGATGGGACTGATGACTGACCCCTAGTCTACAGCATGATTGGAGGGGACCATCCGAACAAGAGGCCCAGGGCAGTCTCCCTGGGAGGATGGGGCAATGTGTCTCCCATCTTTACGCTGTGGTTTTTCCATCTCCCTCCAGCACCAGTGGGTGCTCTTTGGGCAGGGGGCATGATGTCACTGGGGCAGTGGGAGCCACGGTCAGAGGGGCCCAGAAAGGGCCTCTCCTCCTCCCAGAAGCTGCAGCCCCCACAGCACAGCCCCGGGAGCCCAGGCATGAGCACAGTGGCTTTACTGTCCACTGGTATGTGGCTTGGGATGACGGCAGGAATCAGGCCAAGTGTCGCTGTTACAAATGTCGAGTGTTGTGAAAAGGAGCAGAGCTGCCTACGTGCCCAGCCGCCCTTTGCCAGCATTTTTATTTTTCCTTCTGGCTCGAGATCTTCCTGAAGTTCCAAGAAGGTCAATCTCACAAGCCCGCAGGGCAGGATTTTCCTCATTTAACAAGCAATCTTGGCTTCATAGACAAGGCCCTCTGACTCCTTCCTCCCCCATACCCGTCTCCCTCCCTCCTAGAAAACACCACCCAGCGTGACCTTCTCCCTGGTGGAGACGGTGCCTCCTTTCCAGCTCATGTAAGTGGCATCAGTCAATTTAGCACAGAAATACACAGATACAATAATGATATAATTATGTGATGTAAATATTAACTTCATCCCTTTCCTCATCAGTTCTGTTTTCCTCACCAGAGGTCAAGGGAAGTCATGACAATAAAAATAATAATAGTAATTACAAGAAGTATGTCCCCAAAACAGAGAAACCACAAGGCCCATCTCAACATACAAACACAGAAACAGAATTCACAAACGCGGCATTTCTAGGAGTGAATAACACAGTACCGTGGGAGGGGCACGGCTGGGAGAAGCTGTCCGTGTTTTTCCAAGTGCAGGTGTTCACTGTTCAGGATCTTGTGCTTCTTCTCCCTTCATTTTCCAGGGTTCACTTCCCCAAGTCTGGGACCAGCCTAAAGGCCCCTGAGGGCCTGGTTGTTTCTTTCTGGCACTCTCTCCTCCCTTCTGCTCTCCAGCCCCTTCCTCCTCTCCCCTGTGCTTCACCTGCTGACACCCCAGCGCCAGCACCCCAGGCCGAAGGTTCTCCAGGTGCTGTTGGGTTCATCTCAGTGCTTCTGCTTCACTTACTGCACAGTCACAGGGGGCCAGGGGCTAGTCCAGATCCCAGTTCTCTGGAGGTGTCAGGGTGGGCGGAGATAAGACCTGAGGCAGTCTGGGTTTGAGTTTCAGCGAGACAGGAAGCCCTGTCTTGCTTTTTATCTCTTTTTTGCCTCCTTTCTTTGTCTTGGTTTTTTAATAGAGAGAATCTCAAACCCTATGCTCCTGTCTCCCCCAGGTCGGGTTTGTGCGTCACTAATTTGTTCATAGGAAGGCTGGGAACAACTTTTCATTTAGTCCTCCTCCTCCCCTCTGTGTTCCCCAGCCTGAGAAACTGCTGATGGCAAAACACCTCCCCTACACGCCCAGGCAGGAAGTGCCCTTGCCATCCAAGCCTCACCCCCAAGAATCAGCAGGACTTACAGTTTCTAGCTTTTTCCTCTACCTTTTTTTCCCTTTATAAGACAAAAAAATCTTCCTAAATGCATCATCCATGCCTGACCCTTACTTAGCAGAAAATAGAGATTCCAGGGTTGGAAACTTCTGGCCTTCCCTGTGGCTCCTGAGCTAATTGATGTCATCTTGAATCCTTAAGGACATCTATTCCTGCCTGGGTCCCAGAGCCATCCTAAGGGTCTCCTACCCTCCCTCCATCTCAATAGCCTCCCAGTCCTCCATGGCCCTGGACAAAGCCCTGGCCCTGATCTTGAGGACCAGCTACAGCTCTCAGACCTTCCTGTGCCCACCCTCCCAGGGATGAGGTGTGCTTGCGTCGCCCTGGGAGACAGCCCACTCCTCCCAGCCCCACACTTCCCCAGCTCCTCCTTGCACCTCCAGTCCACAGAGATGAGGGGTGACATTCCCCTGGAGCCCACCCCTCCCTGCTCATTGGCATGGAGACCTTGATGGTGGAGAGGGGGTCCTATTGGGGGGGTGGGTATCCCAGCAAACCTGGACCAAAGTAGAGCCTGAGGCCCTGACCACCCCAGGTTCCAGGAGGCTCTAGCAGTCTCTGCCTCTGTGATTCTGAGATGGAGAAGAGGTGCTGGGCCATGCGAGAGAACACCAAGATATCAAGGCACGACATGGGGCGAAGGAGCCTTGCTGCTCCACCTTCTCGACGTCCCCACTTTCCCTCCCCAAGTCCTCAGTCGGGTAGTCCCTTCTTAAAGGGACTACCTTAGAGGCCACTTCCATCTCCTCTGGCTGCCTGAGGGCCCCTTACCCAGAGACCCCCTCAGACCCACCCACACACCCCTTCTGAGGGTCACTCAGAATGGCCATTGTTCTGTAGGCTGGGAGAGAACCACCCAACCCTCTTGCCTCTGGGCACAACCGGAAATGAGCTCGGGAAGCCAGGCCATCTCTGAGAACAAACGGCAGGTCCCACGGGGCTGCCAGTGGCCAGAGGGTGCTGGCTCCAGCCTGAGAATGAGAGCACAGAGGGGTGGGAAACAGGCTCAGGCACAGGGCCCTCCACTAGGCCCCAGTCTTCTCTGGAGGTGGCCCGGTAGGGGTGTGGGGGCAGAGACACCCGTCTCTAAGAGGCGGTCAGATGTCCTGGCCCCCTCTGCCCCAGCCGGGTGGGTGGGAGATGCTGGGGGCTGCTACTGGGCTCCTTGGCCCATCCTGACCGCCCCTCGTCTGCCCTCTCCTACGTGGCCTCCACCTCCCGGGGCGTCCGGTTGTGCTCAGACTGCACCCGGCTCTTCACCTTCTTGCCCAGCTCCAGCCCGGCCCAGCTCTTGCCCTTAGTCTGCTTGCCCCGGCCCCGGCTCCGGAAGGAGCCCGAGCACTCCCCGCTGCCCCGGCACCACACGCGCTCGCAGTACTCATCCACCCGGGGCAGGCTGGCGAAGCCAATGAGCTGCAGGATGTCTTTGTACCAGGCCTTGGGGGGCGCAGGGGCCGGGCCTGCCCGGGTTGGGGGCTCTTCTGGCCTTGGCTCCCGAGGGAACAAGCTGTCCAGCTGCGAGGCCTCGATAACCTCCAGAGCCAGGCGAACCACAGTCTGGGAGAAACCGTGCTCCAGCGTGGTACAGGTGTAGGTGCCTGCATCGAGGCGGCTGAGCCTGCGGAACAGCAGCCCCTGCTCCACGTGCAGGACTCGCTCGTCCGTCTTCACCTGCCGGGTGGGCAGAGGGCGTGAGCGGGGTGCAGGCCAGGACATGCACCATCGGCCTCTCTACCCCCAGCTTTGCCCAATTTGCCATCCTTGGGCCCAGTGCTTGGGCACTTCCCCTTGCCCAGTCTCCCCTTTCCAGGAGGGGACCAGCAGAGTGGCAGGAGCTGCCTCCTCTAGACTGTGGGCTAATTGCAGGCAGGGCCTCATCTTCCCAGAGCCCCAGGACATGGCCTGAAAAGGGCCTTTTCCAAGATTCGACTGACTGGGGTCTCCCCTAGTCAGAGAACACCAATCTTGGCCCCGGAGGGCCCTGGCACATGTTCCCAGGGAGCAGAGGGGTTAAGACGGTATCTACAGGCTTTACTCAGGGGACGGGCTGCACCCCCAGCCCCAGGACTAGGCTTTAGAACCTCCCTCTAGTCCATACACGGTTGTGTACCCTCACCCCCAACGCACGCAGGCATGCTGGGCCTCCCCTGTCGTGGCCTGCACTGTTCACTGCCCCCATGTGGGAGCAACGGCCCCAGCCCAGGGTGGGCTGAGTGCCTGCCGCAGCATGGGAGGCAGGAGTGCTGCTCTGATCCCAGCCTGCCTCTGCCTGAACCCTGTCTGGGCTTCGGTCCATGCATGCTGAGGGTGGATCGCTTGGGCTGTTAGTGTTGTGTAACTTCATCTTGTTGCTGCCTTCTCCCCTGGGGAGTCTTCTCGGTGCCCAGCCCAACAGCTGGCCCAAGGCTGGCCTCCCCCAGTTCCCAAGCTGGAGGGAGAGCCCCTCCTGTAATCAACCTCTCCCTCCCCTCCCCTCCCCTGTGAGGGAATGGTGCCTCACTCTGCCCTGCCCACACCCATCCTCAGGCCCCAGACTGAAGCCATCTCTGGGGTTGACAGACCTTTCTGGGTGGGGGAGGAGAGGGCCTGGGCAGACAGCTGGACTCTAAGGAAGTGTGGGGCCACGTATTGCGGGGTGCAAGGGCCAGTGGTCAGGGACTCAGGCCTGGGACAGAGGAGGAAAAAGAACACCTGGGGAAGAGACCCCTTCAGGGATGAGCCACAAGTGTGAGCATGGGGGATTTCCTTCCATCTCTGCTGCCCACCTCTCAGACTGGGGGAGGGGGGTTCCAGCCACACCTGGCTGGATGTTCCCAGATGGTAGAAATAGAGGCACCTCCTTCTAGGCATCCCAGGGGCCTAATACACACTTTTCTTAGGTTGATCTTGGCACATTCCCCCCAGAGCATCTTCCTAGGGCTCAGGGCTTGGGGTTCAGGGAGAGAGGTGACCTCAGGACACATGGAGGCTGGTGACAGGGTCCTCACTCACCTGGTCAGGCCCCTCATCCCCTGGCCTCTGCAAGAACCAGTGCACGGCAGCCTGGGGAGACTTGGGCAGGCACTCCAGGAAGGTGCTGTTGTGCTCTGTGCCATAGACCGTGGTGACTGCAAGTCCCGCAGCCTCCTCTGGAGAGGGGCAGAGGTCGGTTCAGCTTGGGAACTATGGGACCCAGGCCCCAAAGCCACCACTGACTCCCATATCCCAGGATCCTGACAATGTGACAAAGACCTAGGCATTCATTGACTACCCCAGGCCAGTCACTGTGTCCAGAGACCCTTTACGCATGCACTGCCAGGAGCTTCACAGGTAGGGAAACTGAGGACTGTTTGTTACAACAGGACCAGCCTGAGAACACACTTCATGGGGGTTGAGCTGAGGCCACAGGGGCCAGTTGGGGCCCTGTTAGAGTCCAGCCTGTGCCCCCACCCTTCTACCACTCACCTTTCTGGCTCTGGCCCAGGCACTGCAGGGCAGGGTTGCCGTGCCGGATGTCCTGGCGGCGGAACCGGCGCTTGCTGGGACTGGGGCGGTAGCGGGTACAGGAGGTGCCGTCCCAGGCACAGTAGGGGTCCCGGGCCAGGCAGCACTCTGCACAGGCACTGCCATAAGTCTCACACTGGTGCAGCCGCAGCTGGGCCACACCCAGCCGAGAGCCCACGTAGAGCATTTGCTGGGGAGGGACACGGGCAGAGTCTGTGGTGAGCCCAGGCTTTGCCCAGAAGCAGTCAGGTTCCCAGCCCCCTTGGTTTCCTGGGACCCCTGCCATTCACAGGAACTCTTCCAGAATCTCTTAGGTTCATTCACGAAATAAAGTGTTTACCACCCACCTGTTATATACCAGATCCTGTGTCACGACATGGAGACGACAGGGCAGACCCAGGGTCTTTTCTCTAAGAGGCTTCTTCAGGCCCTCCTTGCTGCTGACCTTTGCCCTCTACCCCAATGGCCTTCATCCTGACTTGCCTCTGACCTTAGAAGTGTACCTTGCTTTAAGCAATCCCAGTGTAAAAGTTGGGATTTACCCAAGGATAAACTGGGGCAGATAAACTTGGGGAGATGGTACTTACCACTTGGCAAATACAGCAGGCCTCTAAAAAGGAGCTCCTTCATTTGATTTAAAATCTGGATTTTGTTTTCAAGCACACTTTTGTCTCCCTTATGAACTGGTCTTTGTGGCTAGCCCCTTATCTGAACACAGCCTCAGGGCACCTCCCATTGTGCCCTGGTTTCATGCCTGTGAATCTCAGCTCCCAGCCATTCCTGGCCACTCGCTGCGTGGGCTAATCAGGCCTGTGCACACAGCTTTCCCCAGACCACAGCAATGCTCAAGGAGGCTGCGCCCAGGGGCAGAGGAAGGATGCAGCTGCTCTTACCCTTTTGACAGAGATTTCCATCTCGGTGATGGGTGTTGGCACCTGGGGAAGGAGCAGAGTCTCAGCGTGGGGTGGGTGGCATGAGACCCTCCCCTGAACCCCTGCTTTCAGCCTCCTCCAACTGCTGGGGTGGAAGCCACCCAGCTTACAGCCTGGCTGATACACCCCCTGGCAACTAAGGCTAGACAGTCTTTCCCGGTGGTTTCCAAGAAAGGACCCCTGGTCCTGGCTGGCCTCCAAGCAGGAGGTTTGGCTAAAAGCACAGAGCTCCTGTGTCCCCACCCACAGCCCTGTTCCCCAGGAATAAGGCAGCTGTCCCAAATCACCCAGCTCAGGTCCAGGAAGCACAACAGTCCCAACACGGAAGATCCTGCTTGAGTCTACAGAGGGTCCAAGGAACCCCTGGGGGATTTAGGGTCTCAGCCATCTCCCACTGCAACTTGAGCCCATCAGGGCTTTGTCAAGGGGCACTCCACTGGCCATCCGTCCCTGGCACACTGGGCACTGTCAGCTCACAGACTGCGCACCGGGCCTACAGTCACTCAGAGGCATCATCAGCAAGGCCTTAGAGGGGCCTGCTCAGTGGGGCCATCGCTTTCAGCCCCACCCCCATCCCTTATCCCTAAACCTAAGTTTGGTAAAGACAGGCCGGCTCCCTCCTGTGTGCTCCTGCTCCCCTGTAGCCAGGTCCAGACCCAGGGACATCAGCCCCCTGCTCACCTTAAACACCTGGAGCTCCTCCAGAACCACCTCCTCGGGCTCTGCTGAGCCCCCTTCCTGGAGGGCAAGGACTTTGAGCACAGAGCCTGAGTCTGGGGCAGGGGAAGAGTGGTCAGCGGAAGAGGAGGGGGAGCCCAGCACCCCGCACCCCTCCCCAGCCTGGCCACCCTGACTCAGTCCTCTTACCAGTCCCTAGGAAGATGACGTCATATGTGCCATCCTCCGCCTCCACACGGTCCACCACAATCTGGCGCAGTTGCTGGGCCAGGTGGGTCTTGACAAGGACAGGGCGGCCATGCTGAGGCCGCACAGGCCGGAACATAAGTGGGTGGGCTCGGGTGAACTGCAGCACCTCATCTGGGTAGTCCTTGGTGCTGCCAAAGGGCCGCCCTGGCTGCGCGGTCATCTTGCTGGGGCACTGTGGGCAGCAAAGGGAGCCCTAAAGTATCCTGGGATCACATGGTGTCCCCCCCGCAGCCTGTTTCCACCCCTGACAGGGGAACCACTCTTGCTGTGGAGGGCTCTTCTCCCTGCACCCCAGCGCACCAGGCCCTCTGGAGCCCCAGCTCAGCTGCTGCCCGCTGCCTGGGGACTACATCTGGACAGAGGGCTGTTACAAGGAAGAGACCCGGCATCTGCTCAGGCCTCTTTCCCTGGCCTGGCCCGCTCAGAGACTCACCACGCCAGGGCGGGGGAAGGGCACCTTGCCCCCGTAGGGCCCCCACTGGTGCTGAGGACCCTCTCGGTGGGCAAAGGGCCCGTTGAAGACCTCCCAGATGTCTGCCATGTGGTACACGCAGACGGCGAAGCCCTGGAACACAGCACTGCCAAGGGCAGACAGGGATAGTCAGGCCAGAGTGGTCGCCATAGGCAGGAAGGGTGTGGCCTGGCTCCACAGGCTAGACAGGGGGTGACAGTGCCTGCAGCAAGCAGAGACTCCGAAAAGCAAGGACACCGAGGCAAAGGCAGAGAGAAGGAGACAGAGAATGCAGTCACAGGTCACTGAATCAGGGACAAAGACAGGGATCCATTGCCAGGCTGGAGCGTGATGGCAGCAGCTCACCGGGGGGGCCAGGGTGGTGGGGTGCAGGGAGGCTGGGTGTGCCCACCTGACGGTGCTGAACAGTGCGTATACCTCGAGGCTCTTCCCTGCCTTGGGCCACAGCAGGAACACGTCCTCTGGGACACAGAAGGGAGTGTGGCATCATGGCCCCTGCTGATGCCCCTGCTCACCAGCTCTGAGCCCTCCCACGCCCAGCACCCAGGCTTTCTTGGCCATGCCCTTACCTAGCCGGTCAAAGTGGGTCTCAGCACCTGCAGGGCCGGGCACCGAGCACACCAGCCTGGCCTTGAGGAAGGTGCTCCATTTGTTCACCAGCACCCGCTGGCCACCGGCATCATTCTGGGGGTGGGGACCATCGTCAGCATGGGGCCCCCTGAGGATGGGCCCACCGCCCACTCCTCCACCCTCACCTACGCAGGAGAGGTATGCACATCAGCTCTGCATCCTTTCCTCAGTTTCCCTATTGCTGTCGGGGATACAGGCCTGGGAAGGGCAAGAACTTGAACCTCACCACCCCTGCACAGCTCTCACCACACAGACTCGGCCCACGCGGCTGATGGTGACATGACCTGGGCTGCCATCAGAGGAAGGGACAGTCTCCGAGAAGAAGAAGTACACCTTGTCATTGTCTTGGTCAGAGTTGTCAGGGATCCGGGCGGCCATCACGAACCGGGGCTCTGGGAGGGTGACAGGGTTATGCTGGGGAGAGGGGCCCCAGGGGAGGATGGGGCTGAGCCCAGAGTGGAGGGGAAAGGCAGGGATCCCCCAGGAGGCTGGCGTGCTGGGGGTGATGTAGCCTCTCCTCCCCACTCCAGCACCTCCTCTCCTGTTAGTCCAGGGGCAGAGCCCACCTAGCCTCGCCCCAGCAGGCCTCACCATGCAAGAGGCTCTGGTCAGAGTCAGAGCGCAGGGCTGGTCGGGGACCCCCACTTCGGAAGATCATGGCCTCGCGCCCCAGGAAGTCAGCAGTGAGGCCCGTGTACAGCTCCCCGCCTGGGGTGGAGGTGGGGGCAGAGTCAGGGGAGGAGGCCCAGGCCCAGCAGCAGGCGCATGCCTGCCCTCCCCAGTGATATAAACCATCTCCCACCCTCCCTGTCCCCCCCAGCCTGGGCATCACTCACCTACAAAGGTGGTGGCGAAGGGACGGCTGGGTTCGTGCGGGCACCGCCCCCGCCCACCCTCCACACTGGTGGGCTCCAGGCGGAGCACGTGCTAGGGAGACAGGACGGGAGATGTCACCTGGGAAAGAAGCACCAGCCCTCCCACACCCGGGCGGCGCAGCGGCCCTTGCGTGTGGCTGGAGAGTGGGGGGTGGGTGGAAGACATCCTCTTTCAGGGCCTCTCTGACGGGTCGGCTCCCTGGCACAAAGGCGCCTTTCAGGCCCCTGCCCCTCTGTCCCTACTCAATGGGAAGCGTTCATGCAACGGGAGAAAATGTCACGGCCTCCCAGTCACTTAGGAGCCCAGCCCAGGCTCACCTCCCCACGGTGTCCAACAGTGATGAGGGCACAGATGGGCTGGAAGGCCCCGGTGCCACAGGCCAGCAGGTGGGTCCGGTTGTGGGGCTGCAGCACCCGCACGAAGTTGGCACACTCCGTCTATCAGGGAGAGGGAGAATGTGGCTGGGGTGAGAGGGTGTGCCCACCACCTCCTCGGGCTCAGCCCCGCCTGGTGATCAGCTCTGGAGAAGGGGTGGGGATGATGTTCTTCACAGACTTCCAAATGCCCCTCAGCAGAGGCACCTGGGGGCATGGCCACAGGCCATCCTGGGGCTGAGGGCCTGGGGTTGAGTTGGGGGACCGTCCCTCCCAACAGCACTCACCAAAGGATCTCTTCCCTTTCGAACACATTCCTCCCTCTGTCCTGGCTGTGGTGGCCACAGGACCTGAAACACAGCCTGGCTGACCTCAGGTACTCCTCTGACCTCACAGCCTCAGTTTCCCCAACTGGCCTCCCAGCTGGAGGTGCCCAGCTCTCAGACAGACCCTTTCCCCTCTCAGCCCACTCACCTCCCGGGGATCTGGCCAGGCCTGGTCCAGCCGCAGAGAGTAGAGGGTATCAAGGCCCCCCAGAAAGAGGCGGTCTCGGTACTCGTCCAGGTACATGGCCTGGAGGTCCAGCGAGCCGCGGGGGCCCAGGAAGATGGCAGAGCGGTTGGCAGACAGGAGGTCTAGGAGGCGGCAGAGGGCGGGTTAGAGCTACTCGGCCTACTTCCCCCAGCCAAGGAGTGGAGGTGGAGGGTCCCAGCTGTGCATGTGCCCCCCACACACTCACATCTGGAAAATGTTTCCATTCACAGGACTGCTGGAAGGCTTTCGGAACATGGCTCCTGGGGGCGAGTGGGATAGGAGGCTCTGAGCCCCCACCCAGCCCAGCCTACCGGGGCCTGCTGCCACTCCTCCATTCTTTAGTGCCCCATCTCTCAACTGACATCTTCCCACTGTCCCATCTGTGCCTTCCCAGTCCCCAAGGAAGGCAGCCCCACTGGCAGAAATTAGGGCAGCAAACTGGGCAAAGCGCTGGGACAGGGTGGGTGAGCGTGAGCAGCGTGTAGCCTGGCTCAGCCGGGGGGCTGGCAGCGGAGGGGGCCCCCAGCAGAAGGAATCCCAGGCAACAGCCTAGTATGCGGAAGGGCAGGTGTGGCCAGGAGGGGCTCCTGCCTCCAGTCCGGAGCTGTGGCCACAGAGGATTTTTCTCCCCATAGACGCTGCCCAGCTGGGCTCCAGAGGCGGGAGGGGGCTGTCTAGGGACATTGATCTCAGGAGTTGAGGATCCTGAGATAGGTCCTTGAGGTTTGGCTGGGGAGGTGGAGGTGATGGGGCAGGCAGTAGGATGATGCAGGAAGGGGGCATGGCCAGCCTTGGGGAGGCCCAGAGTACCCTATGCCTTCCCCACAGGGGCAGCTGGGCCCGGCACCCACCCCTCCCGCAAAACTCGTCGACAGTCTCTCCCAGGAAGCCCTCATGGATGACAGCACTTTGGGGAACTTTTCCTATTTGGGGCTTTTTCTAGTAGCCTGACCTCCCCCCAAAAGCACAGCTCCTAGGACAGGACCATACTCCTCCTCAGACTTTCCAAGGTGGCGCGATGTCCCCACAGAATCTCCCCAGCAGGCCTGTGTCCCCCTCGACTGGGGTTCCCAGGGGAAGGTGATCACCCCTCTGGTTTCCCCAAGAAGAAGAATCTGCCCAGCCTGTGTCTCAGGGACCCTTCCCCATGGCCCATCAGAGGGGGCCTGTGCCAGCTACAGCACAACACACCTAGGAGAGCACAGAGGAAAGCCCCAGCCAGGGTGGCCAAGGAGGGGAGGCTGGAACTCGCCCTGGGCTGTGTGGAGCTTCCACGATGGAGGCGGGATGAAAAAGCCAACTTTAGGATGTGGGCTGCAAGGGGGCTCCTCCCCATCCCTGCGCTGGAGGACCAGAGGGACAGCATGCTGCCCCACGGGCCACCCTGGGCAAAGAGCTGCTAGGCCCAGACAGACCCTCCAGACACGCCCTCTCTATCCCCTCTCCTCTGCCCAGTCCCCCATCCCCTCCCCATCTCTCTCTGCCCCGTCTCTACTGAGGTCTCTCAAGGTCTCCCAGGGCCCCCCAGCACCCCCTCAGGCTTTTTTCCCCGGGTCTCTCTCCCTCCACCCTGGTCATGTCTCTCAGCACCTGCCTCCCTCCCCCTTCCTGAGAGTTGTGCAGGGAGTGGCTGGCCCCATCCCCTCCAGCTGGCTGGGAGTATGGCAGAGCCTGGGACACCCATGGACATACACACAAACAGGGCATGCAGTGGCCAGTACCTCGGTAGGAGAGCCTCAGGCGGGGCACACCAGGGCTGGGGTTACCCCCACAGAGCAGGAGGCCCCCCAGGAGGCAGCAGATGGCCAAGGCTGAGGGGGCCATGCTGGGGAACCCAGGGCACCGCTGCCTGCGGAGCAGCCCTCCAGTCCCGCTGCTGGCTGTAGTTTGCTCTGTTGCCACCAGGCCAGCCACTTATAAGGCAGTGGCTCCACCCAGTCCTGGGCGGGAAGGCAGGAGGAGGAGGGGAGGAGGCAGAGCCTGGCCATCCACCTGCAGCTTCTCCCTCCACCTTGGCTAACCCAGTGCATGCCTTTGTGTCAGATTGGCCAGGTCCCCACTGGGGAGACTTTCCCATCTGCACTGTGGACACTTTGCACAGAGAGGTATTCACAAATGCAGGTCCCCCAGCTCCAGGAAGGTGACAAGGTAGGAAATAGCCTGAAAGGGAGGTCGGGGATCAGAGGTCAGAGGTTGATGGACTGGGTGGGGGTCTGGCTGGGATCTGCTTTGTTCCCTGCCCCTCCAGTGCCCATGGCAGAGGTCCCCACAAACTGGCCCTGGGCCAGGTCCCCAATACCAGGATGGTCCAGCCGCCTGAAGCCTTGGCCAGGCTCCCCTGGCAGGGCCCAAGCTGTCTACAGGGCAGTGGGGGGGTCATTCCCAACATGAGGGGCTCCATGTCCTGGGCAGAGGGTTGAGGTGTGGCCACACTTCACAAATCTGGGATTGGCAAGAATGCCCAGGCTCTCCCACCCAGGACTGCCTCCATCTGCCCTCCAGGCCCCATGGCACCTCCCACAGCCACCAGGCCCCATCTCAGCTCACTGGGCTTACTTTGGGGCAGAGGGCAGAATCCACCCCATGCTAAGGGGGGACCCCCAATTTCCCTGCTTCCCTCAGGCCTCCAGTCCTTCCAGAGACCCAGGTCAGTGGTGGGTTCTTCCCAGAGACCCCCATGCCCACCCCCGCCCCCAGCTCTGCTGGAGAACTCTGGCCAAGGCCCTTCTCTCTCTGGGTCTGTCTCCTCCTCCCAGGGCCAGCCACAAGCCACCTTGGGTGTAGCCAGGTGTTATAAACTGATGAGCAGCAACAACAAAAAGGAAAGATATAAACTACTGGCCGGGCGCGGTAGCTCACGCCTGTAATCCTAGCACTCTGGGAGGCCAAGGCGGGTGGATTGTTTGAGCTCAGGAGTTCGAAACCAGCCTGAGCAAGAGCAAGACCCCATCTCTACTAAAAATAGAAAGAAATTAATCAGACAACTAAAAATATATAGAAAAAATTAGCCGGGCATGGTAGCACATGCCTGTAGTCCCAGCTACTCGGGAGGCTGAGGCAGGAGGATCGCTTGAGCCCAGGAGTTTGAGGTTGCTGTGAGCTAGGCTAATGCCACGGCACTCTAGCCTGGGCAACACAGTGAGACTCTGTCTCAAAAAAAAAAAAAAAAAGATATAAACTACTGAGCAGTGTGTGTACAGAGGCTGCTGTGACCGTGGTTATACCCTGAGACCTTGGTGGGGTGGATGCCCCACCCCCGCCTCTGGGGCCATGTTTGGGCATGTAGCCCAGGCTGGGGGCCGTGTCTAGCTGGAGACTGAACCGGACAGCCTGTCAGCAGGCATGTGGCCACCAGCTGTGAGCAGGAGGCCCAACCACGCCTCAGCCTGCCAGCCCACCCTGGGCGGCTCGGCTCAGCCAGATCCCCAGCTAGGGCTGCAGGAAGGCCTGGGTCTACTGAGGCAGAGTGTTGGGGGTGGCCCACTCCAAACTGCAATGAGAGCCTGTGGCAGGGGCTCCAAGTCCAAACTCTACCGTTAACTTGTGTGGCCTTGGTCAGGTCCCCTCTCTCTCTGGGCCTCAGTTTCCCAGTCTAGGGAGAGGGGTAAGGATCTTCTCAAAAGGCCCCTTGCTTGCCAGCTACATGTGGGAAAGACCCCAAGGGTGCCCCGAATACTTGGATCAAGGGTCCAGACACAGGCATCATGCGCCATCTAGTGGGAAAAGAGGGATCTGCAGAACACCTGGTGCTGGGCAGCGGGGCCACCAGAAGCTGCAGCCTCCTGAGGAGACAGGCAGTAACCAGGCATCCACAGTACAAAGAGAAAGGAGAGGGGGAGGCGCTCCAGTGATTGCTTCTGATGGAGGAAATTAGGGAGGTTTCATGGAGGAAGCACCATCCAGGCAAAGATGACACAGCTCAGAAGTTGAAAGGACCGAACCCAGCAAAACAGGCAGAACTGGGGACACATGTATGGAGCAAAACACCCCGTCCCGGTGAGAGACTGGGAGCCCCAGGCCCGTGCCTGTGGGATGTGCATGTAGCAAGTGCCACCAGGTGGGTATGTGGCGGGTCACAGCCCAGCCTCTCCCAGCTAGGATTCTGGGGTGAGCATGCCTAAAAGGAATGGATGCTCCCAATCCCTTCCCCCGAGTTTCACTGGGAAAACAGAGATATGAGGACAATTCCATGTGCCCCCCACCATGGACCCTCAGCTGCTTGCAGAGGGTGAGCCTCCCCGTCAGTCTTCCCCGCAGCTCCTACCCACTCCCAACCCTCCCACCTGCAAGCAGAGCCATCCATCTCCTCTGCCTCTCCAGGGACCTGTCCCGCTTCCCCCGAAGCTGATGAAGGAAGAGCCAGGAGGTGGGCAGGCCTTCCTTCCCCTGCTGCCCCTTCCTGACAGCCCCTACTCTCCCCAGCCCAGGCACACGTGGTCCTTGCCTGAGGCAGCACCCCCAGCACCCTCTCTGTAGCTAGCCTGGCCAACCTCCTGTTTCCTACACAGCAGAAAGTTTCCTAACTCTCTTCCTCTCCCTTGACCCCATCAGCTGGCTGGGTGCCCCTGGCCTCCTCACTGCCCGTCACCATCCCCTCCCCCCACCTCAGTCACCAACCCTGCAGGTCACCACCAGCAAGGACATGACCTTCTGCATGTCCATTTGGAACATCCCTTTCTCTGGACACCACCGTCTGTGCCTCAGTACCCCACTGCCACACCCTTCACTCATGGAGACCCGTCTGCCTGCCCCTCGTTGCCTCAAGACCCCCTTTCTCCCTGCCCAGCTTGGATCCATGGCCAGCGCTAGAACCAGGCCCTTGCAAACACTGCTCGGGCCCTGAGGCTGCAGGCCTGCTGCAGTGCTGCCCCGAATCTTGCATTGCCCGTTTCCTGCTTCGCTGGGTTGTTCCCATGAGCATTCAAGCCCTTCCTTTACCCTCTCCTTAAACAAGCTTCCCTGGACCCCATATTGCCCCTCTGCTCTGGCCTATTTCTCTGCTCCCTGGGTGTTGCCCACACTCGCCATCTCCCCTGTACCCCAGCTTCCACCCTACTGCTCCACTGGAATGCCCGACCGAGGGCCATCAGATGTCATCATGCCCCCTTCTTTCACTCCTGGCCCCTGGGCCCTTCTCCCTCCCCACTGGCCACACTTCCTCCCCCTGACTGCCCATGCGGATGCCACCTCTCCCTGAGAACTCTCTCCCTGGGGCCCTGTTTATGACAAGAGCTGGGAAAAGGCTTCCTACCCTGATGACATCTGTGTCCACGGCTGTCCTTCTGCCCTCTCCCTTATCTCCTACCTGGCTTTGACCTTCCTGCCAGCCCATCTCAGAGGCATCTCAACTTTGACACAGACAAAAAACTCTCCATCTTTCCTGTGATGAACCCATCAAAAATGCATCACCCAAATCTAGTCTTGAGGAAACACGCAGCATACCCAAAGCGAGTGAGATTCCACAAAATAGCTGGGCCGTGCTCTCCAAATGGGTCAAGAACTTGAAAGATGAGGACTGAGCAATTGTCACAGGGTGGTGGAGAGTAGGAGACATACTAGTGTGACTAGATCACAGTAGTGTGAATTGAATTGGCTCCTGTTCCAGGAAAAGGCTTTTAGGAGGGCAACCGACCAAACTTCAATAACCGCAGATGAATTAGCAGTGTAGTGTCAAAGTTTGATCATAATTTCTGGGGTTTGATCACTGTCCTGTGGTTATTTAAAATGTTAACATTTGGGCAAGCCACCTAACAAACGGGAATTCTTTGTACTATTTTTGCAACATTTTTGCAAGTCCGAAATTTCAAAACAAAACAAAAAACCCACTAAATAAAAGTAACCTTTACTTCCCAATACCCGACTGCCTAACCAGCACCTCCCCCAGGCTTCTGTATCTCAGGAAATGGCAGTTTGGCCAAAATTCTAAGGGTCATCCTGGATGCACCACTTTCTCACCCTTCACATTCAAGCCTTCAGCAAGTTCTGTCTATTGTGGGCCCCAAATGTGCCCTGAATGGATGCACACTCCCACCCCTCTCTCCCCAGCTCCCCGCTGTGCAAAGAGCCCCAGGCCTTCTTGCCCAGAACCTGCCCCCGCCTGAAGCCAGCTCCTGGCTCCCCCATAAGCCCTCCTCCACTCTGCAGCCCTGATAGTACCTCGCTCCCCACATGGACTGGGCTTCTCAGGGGGCCTGGCACTGCCTCCCCCACCCAACCCCCCACCAGGCTGCTGGGGCGTGGCTCCCAGCCCCCCACTGCCTTTCTGCTCCTGAGACTCTCCTGGTCTTTCCCCACACCCTCCCATGGCTGGGTCCCTGTGGTTCTCCAGGGCTCACACCGGGTAAGCTCCACCAGGCAGCCTTCCCCAACTGCTCTGTCTCGTAGGCCCACCATGCCTCTACAACGTCCATTCCAGCCCTGCGCCAGTTTCCTCCCTGCACCCATGTCCTTAAAATTCCATGAGATTAGGGCCTGGGCTTCACTCTGCCACATCCCAGCATCCAGCCCCGCACCAGGCACATGGTAGGTGTGTGAACAGACCATTGAATGGTGCACTAGCTGGCAGTGCCATCCACTGTGGCCCTTCCTTCTCTCCTGGAACATCATCCTTCCTGGGTCACTCTGGGTGTCTGTACAGGTCCCCAAGTTCTCTAGCTCCCCAGGGCAGGCCTGAGGGGACTCCTCTCCTCTCCCCCTAGGTCTCTCCAGGCACCAGGAAGCTCCTGCCAGCTCTGGCCTCCACCAGAGGCATCTCTAGAATTCCAAGACTGTCTCCAGAATGCTGGGCCTGTCTGAGGAATGCCAAGGCTGGGGCACAGGTGCAG